TAATTCTAAGCATTTATGCAACTTAGGCCTATAAATTGTTTATGTGTCGGTGTGTCCATGGTTTTGAGTCTGTGTGTGTGTTGAGCGCAGCGCCTGCTTTTTGTAGTACAGTAACTAAAGTAGGACTAAGTAGGCCTATACCGGTAGTTTCTGTAGACCTGCTGTCAGCCCGTTTTGTGAGTGCACTGCGCACTTGCGGCATTGTTTGGGATGACTAGGGTGACCCGCGTCCCACAAATTGAGACTATGTCCCGCATTTGAGTGATAGTCGCGCAGAAAGTTCGGTTCGCTGACGTCCGGCACCGTCCTTTATTATTTTAAACGGCATCATGTAAATTGCCCCCCCCCCCCCCATTGACAGTTCAGTTCACGAGCGTCGACATTGCGTCAACCCAGTAAAAAAATCCCCCACTACACCACTGGTAGTACAGGCCTCAGCTGCAAAGAGCTGTGCCTTTTACTGTTTACTTCACTGTGTTTAGAACAGCTGAATAGAGATCGAGGCGGCTATGTTTAACCACACACACCTCTATCGAACTGCCCCCTATTCCCCCTATTACTCGTTTTATGAAGGAGATGTCCGGTCACCAGGGTGCATGATGTGTTTGGGCTCTGCTCGGCTCTGTGTGTGTGTGTTCTGTGTGTTTGTGTGTGTCCGACACTGGCATTTGTTTTCAAATGACCATGAACAGTAATTTACACACATCTGGTTCTCCATAGTTATATGTGTACGGTGCCCCTAAAGGTTCATGGACAAAAAAAAAGTATCTTGTGCGCACTATATACTTTTTCGTGCGCACAAGATGGTTAGACACATCAAACTGCCAGATTATTATGCCATATTATTAGTTTTATGAAGAAGATGTCCGGTCGCCAGGGCGTGTGTGTATGTTTGTGTGTGTGTGGGCATTTGTTTTCAGAAGATATTATGATAGTGCCGTTTGTTCCGGTGCACTCCGACAGCACTAAGCAGTGCACTACATCGAGATTAAGATTAAACAAACTTCTTTCATTTGGGAATACACATATACCTATGGAGTTAGCCAGATGTGTGTAAATGACTGTTCATGGTCATTTGAAAACAAATGCCGGTCTGACACACACGTACACCGAACACACACACACACACACACACACACACACACACACACACACACACACACACACACACACACACACACACACACACACACACACACACACACACACACACCATGCGCCCTGGTGACCGGACATCTCCTTCATAAAATGAGTAATAGGGGGAATAATCGGGCAGTTCGATGTGTGTAGAGGTGTGTGTGTGTGTGTGTGTGTGTGTGTGTGGTTAAAACGTAGCAGCCTCGATCTCTATTTAGCTGTTCTAATGAAGGTAAACAAAGTGAAGGCGGTGCGTTAAAGGTAGGGCTGTGCGATTATGGCAAAAATCATAATCACGATTATTTGGGTCAATAATTGATATCACGATTATTTTGACGATTATTCATTGACCATTTATTGAACTTTAAAACAAATAATATTTTACCAATAAACAAGATCAAATATGTTGGAGCGCACTTCCAAAACCATACTAAACATATATTATTAATATGATAAATAAAAATAAATTAGACCAAAATAAATGAAATCAAACATGTTGCAGTGCACTGTCACAACCTACTGAAAACTCCTTAACATATAGCCAACATTTTGGTAAAACATATTCAACATATTCCACTCAGTTAAACGTTGAAGGCTGGCCAACCGTCATGGTCCAGAAGTAACAGGAAATAAATGTTGAACTACAATTTAAGACCAAATAAAAATGTTTAGGCCACCATGGCAAATGCTGGTAGGACTGCTCATGTCATCTCTTAAAGATTGTTCGCAAGAAACACCAGCCTGTTTACATGGTCTGGTTTCAGAGATGAGCGCAGGCAGGTGACGATATTGCCACCTGTACTGAAGACCCTCAGCCACGCCCCGACACATGGGGTGACGCCGGCCAATCACAAAGCTTTGATGCGTTCAAGTGCATTATTCTGGCACAGGAAGATTATGTTACAGGACATTAACGATAAAACAGAATATTGTTGTTCTATTTTTAGACACATCTCGCGATCGACTGGTTGGGCACCCCTGGGCTAGACCATAGGTCTGTTGTGGTAGCAAAGTAGTCAGCTGAAGCCACATCTCTCTCAACTTCCCCACGGCATTTGTCATATAGTGCAGGCAGCGCAGACCTGCTGAAATAATACCGAGACGGCATCGCGTAACGCTTGTCCAACGTGTTGACAAGTTGCTTAAAGCCCTGGTTGCTAACAGTGCTAACTGGGCACATAACTTTAGCGATGTGAAATGTAATGGCACCTGTAATATCTCTGTGTCTCTGCGAGCTCGTCGCGTAGGCCGTTGCTCTGTACAATGCGTCCTGAATCGATGACTGTGATGATGTGGTGGATGAAGTCGAGCGGGCATCTGCTTTTTGTTGTATTACTGCCCGGTCGTATTGCACTTTGTGGTTGTATTTCAGTTGATTAAAGAGATTGGTTGTGTTGGCGTGTGGTGCCAACACAACCTGGTAACAAATCCTGCACTGTACTTTGTTTTGCTCCACGTCGGACTCCTGAAAGCCAAAGTACTTCCAAATAGTGGAAATAGTTTGACCCTTCTTTTTAACGAGTTGCTGCTCTTGATCTGACATCTTCGCTCGCGCTGAACACTCACAACACATGTCACTCCCACGTGGCCGAGTGGGCTTTTAGGGAGGGGCGAAAGCGCACCCAGCAAAAATAATCGTATTTTGTCAATTATGCTGTTTTCATAATCGTCGCAAACCATAATCGTAATCGCGATTAAAATACGATTAATTGCACAGCCCTAGTTAAAGGCATAGCTCTCTGCGCGCAGATAATGTGAGAGTCACGGACATGAATTCATAGATCAAGGCAGGCTGGTTTACAGACTCTCCTGTTTTGACAATCCGGTGCTTAAACAAATAGCTCTACACCTCTGTCCGAAATGTCCCTAAATGAAGTCCAAGTTTGAAATATATCTCAAATAATGTATGCACTGCTATTTCCCCACATAAACATAACAGTCTGCAATGGAACGGTTATCTCCTGTGTGCTCCACTTCCTACTTGGCGCATCGGTAACTTTCTCGTGCGCACAAAAAAGTATATCGTGCGCACGAAAAAGTACATCATGCACACGAAAAAGTACATCGTGCAAACGAGAAAGTATATCGTGCGCACGAGATACTTTGTTTTTTCCGTGAACCTTTATGAAAGCCTCTGAAGAAGGTTTTAAATATCAGTTGAACGACAATCAAAGTCAAATAATAGTTGAATACATATACTACAGCTCCATGGCTCCATTACACCATTAAAGTGCATTAATCATTCAATACTGACACCAAGCTTTAACACTGACCTCTGAGAACCACTACAACAACTCACCTCTCACTGGGAGAATAATCAGCCAGATGGACTGTGTTTGGACAAAACTCCAGATTAGTGCACTGTGTGTGTGTGTGTGTGTGCACATGTGTTCGCTGGACAACAATTCTCTTAGTGAGGGTTTAAGTGACAGTAAGGGGTTTTTAGGCAAATATTTATTGAAGAAACAGAACATATTAATATAATTTAGCCATGACACAAATAATGGGTTTTAAGCTAAAAATGTAAGCAGTTTTGCTCTTTAACAAAACAACTGATAATGTCCTGTTGCTGGTGCAATGAGGAATTATAACAGAGAGTTAAGTGTACTCACAGTTTTACCTCCATGGAGTGATATAAAAACTGGCAATCAGATTCAAGTCCTGTCTGTCTGACTTTTTAATAGATGTAGTCAGCTATAACTTTGGTGAGTACAAAGTAAAACCCAATAGACCCGATGGCAAAAAAACAAAACAAATGAGACCAATCAATATACTTATATAACAATGAATCACCAGGTTGGGTCCCCTTGTAGAGCGGGGGACACATGTGAACAAGTCCTTTCATCAACAAGTCATTGAATCTAGCCCCCAACCCTTGGCACAGTTCGTCCCCACTCTCTCCCGCTGTCCTGCTATCTCTATCTGTCCAAAAAAGGCAGACAAAAATAAATACATCCAAAATGTTGTTTGTGTTGCCTTTAAGGTGATCATATTTCAGTCTTGTGTTTAGAGTTTGTTTCCACTGCCCCCAAGTGGCCAAATTAGAGCCCTATGATCAAAGACTTAGGAGATACAAAAACACAAATAAATTGAAGTAAATGTGTAATAAAACCATTGGCTGGTGTGACGAAGGTAACTTCGTCACTATGGACTGACTGCTTCAGGCCGGGTAATTGTGTGCACCTGGTGTCCTGTGTTGTCTCCTCGCCCCCTCACCTGTGTCTTGTTGTGCTGATTAGTGTGTGTATTTAGGCTCTGTTTCCCTGTCTGTTGGGAGGCTGGTAGTGTGTGAGATCCTTGTGGCTGGTAGGATGTGTGCACAGGAACAGCAGGATTGAGGCTGTGTCCTGTGCTCAAGTTGAATAAATGCCCACGTCGGGTTATATTTTTGGACGTTCTGCCTCTGCCTCCTTGCTTGGTCTGGGCCGCTCAACGGTCAGCTTCACAGCTGGCACCCTTCTGTTTTTTCTCGTTTGAAGTCTCACGCATGGTTCCAGACAAACCACAAGAGCGGTGGTCTGTCCAGTGACGTATAACAGAGGAGACGCTGTGTGTTAAGAGAAGAGGCACACCAATATCTTAGTTTAGAATTAGGGTTATTGTAATCAGCAATGCAGTGTGTGTGTGTACATCTTGGTTCCAGGTGCTGTCCCCAGTGTAACCTGAGCTGCTCTTTATTAATAAATAATGCTCAGCCATCGCATATCCCAGAGCTCATCAGTCAGCCGGTTGCTCCAGCTTATTCTGCCATTTGCCCTCCAAAAGGACAAACACACACACACACACCCACACACACTCATACAAAACAGTACACCACTTCACAGAGTCTGAGATAATCGGACTGTTTTCACCTTCAGGATTGAATTATTTGGTCGTGTCACCAGGAGCCACCTCTCCGATGATGAATCCTGAATAGTAAGTGTTGTTCTTCATGTATGCTGTGTGTTACTGCCAGGTACACACTGACATCCACTCCTCACAGTGAGAGCTGACCCAAAAAGTTAGGAGAGCATTCAAGTACTTGTTTTTGTCCTGGACACAGTGTTCAGGGGTCTCTGCAGTCCTGTGTGTGTTTGTTGATGCGTTAACTCTCCCCTTGCTGTGTGATTTAATCCAGTGTGTGGGCAGGCACCAATATTATACTATATGTGTGTATATTACATTACAAATACTTACCTACAAGTATACACAGCTCTTAGTTACAGAAAAAAAACATCTTGTTCATTTTCTGCACAGACGATTCTAGCAGTTGGATCACTAGGCCCCTGTGGCTCATGGGAATTGTAGTTCTTACAGGCACTTCTCCCAACTGTGCCTTGTTGTATAACTTTCACAACAAGTACAAGAGTGTTATTTTTTCATCTGATGTATGTGTGTGTGTCCGTGTGTGTATGTGTGTGTGTGTGTGTGTGTGTGTGTGTGTGTGTGTGTGTGTGTGTGTGTGTGTGTGTGTGTGTGTGTGTGTGTGTGTGTGTGTGTGTGTGTGTGTGTGTGTGTGGTGTGTGTGTGTGTGTGTGTGTGTGTGTGTGTGTGTGTGTGTGTGTGTGTGTGTGTGTGTGTGTGTGTGTGTGTTTCTCCTACAGTGACTACTTGTTCAAACTTCTTCTGATCGGTGACTCTGGAGTCGGAAAGTCGTGTCTGCTGCTGCGCTTTGCGGTAGGCCTGTAACACACACACACACACACACACACACACACACACACACACACACACACACACACACACACACACACACACACACACACACACACACACACACACACACACACACACACACACTTTTAATAAGATAATGCTGCTTGTTTAATGAACCCCCCCAGGATGACACCTACACTGAGAGCTACATCTCCACCATCGGAGTGGACTTCAAGATCAGGACCATCGACATGGACGGGAAAACAGTGAAACTACAGATTGTAAGATTTTGTTTATCAGGCATAGTCAGTGGTGTGGGTGTGTCTTTTTTTTTTAATCACAGAAAGAGTCCTGTGTAACAGCAACAGACGTAAGCTGTTGTCTGAGCCCCATTGCTGTGTTTCAGCTGGCAACAGTTTAGCTGCTACATCTGCTAGGAGTAGGTCAGTCTCCCAGAAACACGACTGCAGTCTTCCTTGTAACTGATTCACCAGCACTAACTATGATCTTGTTTGAAGTGAATATATCTGCACTTCCCTTGTTGTTCGGAGTTTGATTCTCTAAGGTTGTTGCACTTATTGTAAGTCGCTTTGGATAAAAGCGTCAGCTCAATGAAATGTGATGTAACGTCTCCTAACAGTGGAGAGGACAAAAGAATAAGTCATATTCAGGCTTTTTCTCCTTTTGATTGAATGTAATACAAATAGGAGAATGTACACAGACCCAGGACATCCCTCAATGCAGCTCTCCTCCTTTGTGTGTGTGTGTGTGTGTGTGTGTGTGTGTGTGTGTGTGTGTGTGTGTGTGTGTGTGTGTGTGTGTGTGTGTGTGTGTGTGTGTGTGTGTGTGTGTGTGTGTGTGTGTGTGTGTGTGTGTGTGTCTCAGTGGGACACGGCAGGTCAGGAGAGGTTTCGAACCATCACCTCCAGCTACTACAGGGGAGCTCACGGCATTATCATCGTCTACGACGTCACTGAGCAGGTCAGCCATTGTTTCTGGCACATCATCCTCAACATAGTAGGAGAGAGTGTATTAAATATTAACTTTTCTTCCCCTGCTTCTCTTCTCTCTCTCTTCTCTCCACAGGAGTCCTTTAACAACGTCAAGCAGTGGCTGGATGAGATCGATCGCTACGCCTGTGAGAACGTCTCCAGGCTGCTCGTGGGAAACAAGTCGGACCTGGTTAGTAAGAAGGTGGTGGAGCTCTCTACCGCGCAGGTAAACATCCAGTGTTCCACTTCTAGAAACTAAACTATTACATGTAATGGTCATTTAAATAAATGGATTGCTTTAAAAAGGAGACAACATTGTTAGCAGTATCAAATGTAAAGTTTGACAACTTTCAGTTTAATTTAGAGTAACAAAGTAAAATAACTGAAATCTTGACACCGTCATAATCAGGGTCATTTTAAATATAATTGTAATGAGAATTTCCACAAACCTATTATTGAATTATTTATAACAATATTATGAATGTACTGATGTGTTATATTGTATATTGTGCTAAAAATAGCTTCAAATTTGACATGGTCATAACCAGTGTAATACTGAACAGAATTTCATTAAACAGTTCGGCAAGCCTCTGTAGGAATACATTTCTTTAATTCATGGATTAATACATTATTGAACGGAAAAACTATATATGTAATTACAGTCAGGGATATTGAGCAGAAATCATATTTAATTTCCAGCAAACCTGTTATGCTAAATGTTTTATAAATGTAAGACTTATTTGCTTTGTTATAATTGGATTGAAATATGAGAAATGATTGCTGAAATATACTTATTTATTGATGTCAACTCCTCAATAAATAAGGACACTGAGGAGATTTATTTTCAATGTACAATAGGTGTGTACTCAGTTGTCAAACATGAGTACATGTTACTGCTGATACTTTTAAGTTGAATAATGAATGGAGTATGTTTACACTGTATGACTGTATTGTTAACAGATTTGTACTCTTTGTTCCACTACCCCCCCCCCCCCCCCCCCCAGGACCTGGCCTCCTCTCTGAAGGTCCCCCTCCTGGAGACCAGTGCTAAGAGCTCTGATAATGTGGAGAGGGCTTTCCTCACCATGGCCTCGGAGATCCACAAGCGCGTGGCCACTGAGGGGGCGGGGATGCAGGGCGAGTCCAGAGAGGCCAGGGCCCAGAGTGCCAAGATCAGCAGCGCCCCCGTGTGGCTGGGGGGGGAGAAGCAGGCGCCGGAGGCCAGTACCTGCTGCTGAGCAGGAAGACAGGGGAGAGAGACATGTCAATCTAACACATGTTCAGCCTCAGGACTATGGACACACACCTTGTCAGAATGTTGACAGCTTTGCTATCAAATAAATACAACCTATTTATATATAAAAATATGACTTTTCAGGAAGGAAAACTTGTCCATTGTATATTTCAGTGAAATATACAATGGCTTTTTTGGTTTATTATGAGCCGATGACGGAACACAGAAAGATTAGAAACTCAGACACAGTGTAGGTTTGGCAGGAGTTTTATAAATACAACTATATATCATATTACAATTTTTCTTAAGATAAAAGTAAAAACCTGATATCAGCAGTTTGTGCTGCTGTTATGAATTGTTTGATTTGCAAAGTCAGTTTCCATCATCTCCCTCCCAAATGATGTGGTGTATTTACCAGTTTGTGTTGTGTTTGGCATGTTGATTGTTTGTGTCAATAAAGACATCTCAATGATCAAAAAATGTAAAGGTCTGAACCACATTAATATCCTTCACATACATGTATGCTTAAATATGTACTGTATTAACGATTTGTTGACAATCAACGTGTTACTTCAGTTTCCTGTCGCTTCCTGAGGAGTGTGAGAGGCAGAGAACAGTCTACAAGTGTTTAATGAAGAACAAACAGATGAGTGTTTTTTTGAAAATATATTTATTTATTGACATAGTATTTTGGAGTTCCTCCCACATCATGTGTTTCTGCCTGACCTTCGTCTCCAGACAGCTCTCCTCAATATGGGTCAGAGGTCAAAGAGATGGAGAGGTGCAGCCAGGAGAGTCCCTGCTCTTCAACATCAGGCTGTTACTGACGTGTATTCACTGGAGCTGCAGTACTGCTGGAATATGGAAAAAGATGGAGATGAGCGGCTGATATGAAGTCCACTGTTTCAATACTTTGGTGTCGGTTCCTGCTTGAATGACGAAATGTCACCTGACTGATGTCGTCTGAAGCTTCACACATCGGATGGAAAGAAAGGAGACTACTGAGAAGTTGGAAAGCACTTCCAGTCAAAGGTATTACGCACAGTCTTGCTCTGCATTTCCGCTCTCACTCCTGGAGCTTTCATAACCCACTTTAGCGTCTTGTTTCTCCATCACCCGGGAGGAAGAGAAGAGAAGGGGGGGCTTCTCTTCTCCTCCTCCTTTAGGTAATGCTTCCAACTTTGTCTAACATCTGCTCTTCTCTTTTTGTTTTCCTCTTCTCCCTGTTCTGTTCTTCTGTCCTCTCTCATCCTACATCCTTTCCCCCATATGTGTACTCTTCATTTCCTTAAGCTCTCTCTCTCTCTACATTATGTTACTCCATATATCTTTCTCTCTCATTTCAAACCTTTATTTATCCAGATTGGTCCCATTGAGATCATAGATCTCTTTTTTAAGGGAGACCTGCAGCAATTAGGTTCCACATGAAACATAAGACAACATAAAACAATAGAGGATATCATACAACATATTTACAAGCTACATTTACATACTTATCAACATTTACAAATACCCATAGTTTCAAAGAGCATTTCACTTAGACTTGCTTTAAAAACATTCAGAGGAATAAAATTGCTCAGTTTCAATTTTAGCTGTAGACTGTTCCAAGCAAGTGGCGCTGCGCACTTAAAAGCTGTCTTACCTAAGACACATCTAACAATACTACATCATGCGATCTCAGACAATAGCTGCTTGCAACTCTCTGTGTTATCAGAGAGCAGATATAATACGGGAGTTTACCCAACAAAGCTTTATAAATAAACGTGTACCAATGACTGAGCCTCTTTACAGTAAGTGATGGCAGACCTGCCTTGGCATACAGGGTACAGTGATGTGTAAGTTCTTTACAATTAGTGACAAATCTCAGTGCGCTGTGATAGGCAATAGGAAGGTGCATTCATATAGACCAGGGGCCTCATTTATAAAGGGATATACGCTCAAAAGATGGCGTACGCCAGTTTCTACGCAATGTTTGCGATTTATAAAATACTAACTTGACGGGAAAATGTGCGGTCCTCCACGCAAACTCTAACCCATGCGTACGCACTAAGCACAAACACGGGAGAGACGAGAAACTGCGACACCGTTGGCAGAAGAAAGAATGGAGAGAAATATGTGGAAATAATACCATAAATAAAACGTTACCTCTCATATATGAAGAATTCATTTTCAAACTTTGATTAAAGCCAATCTTAAAATGATTAAACAAACGCCTGTTTGAGACTCCTCAGTGCACACTAGTGTTAATTTCGTTGACTAAAACTATGACGAAATATGTTCGTCAACGACCTTTTTTTCCATGACGAAAACGAGACGATGACGAGACGGCACCGACGGCAGTAAACAATAACTGTAACGAAATCATCATGCAATATCGTTGACGAAAAGTGACGAGACGAAAATGTAGTTTACAAAATAAAAACTATGCCAAAATCTCTCTTTACTTTCGTTGACGAAAAATGAGGAGACGAAATATTATCAAAGATAACGTTACATCTCTGATAGTCGGTTTTTCTCCCAGCAGTTCCATTTCCGGTGCTGCGGCTGGGCAGCAGCTGTGTGTCCGTGCTGCGCGCGGCGGTATATTTGAATTACACCGGGCAGCGGCACACTGTGAACTGTCAGGAAGACTCGGATCTAACTCATGGTCTAACTAACCTTATTTAACAGAAAATAAAATGGCAACAACAGGGCTTGGGAGCAGTGGTCGCACTCGCGTTAACCGAAGACCCCCCCCCCCCCGTCAGCGCGAGTGAGAGACAAATTGTGCACTCGACGGATAATAATGGATTATGACGGAAATGTTACGATCCTGTCCATCAAAATGACTGACAACGAAAAAGTCTAAAGCCACCACTGCTTGGGAGAAAGAAACAATGTGATATTTGGGCCCATTTTCGCTACAATGAGGCGGAGAAAAAAAGCGAATGCATTGTTTTATCAGAAGGGAAGCAATGTGGCCATAACACAGCTGGTGAAAACACCACAAACCTGAGCAGATCCTCTCTGCAAAGCTGCATTCTTTTAATCATTCAACCTGTGTTTTTCATCAAATAAGGACAAGATATAATCTTATTTATTTATATATACTAAAATGACAAATTATTGGTTTTGGCTAGACTAGTTTGACTGAAATGTTCTATATAATCTGATGACTAAAAAAGACTCAACAGTTTTCATTGACAAAAAGTAGACTAAAATAATTAGTTTTCTTTGACTAAAATATGACTAAAATGCTCAGACTTTTAGTCGACTAAATCTTGACTAAAATGTTTACTGTTTTAGTCGACTAAAATAAGACTAAAATGCTCAGACTTTTAGTCGACTAAAACTTGACTAATTAAAAACAGGATGAAGGTGACTAAATATGACTAAAACTAAAAAGAAAATTTAACACAGGACTAAGACTAAAACTAAATTAAAAAATAGCTGACGAAATTAACACTAGTGCACACAAACACATAACTTGGAGAAATAAATAAATACGGATATGTTATTGAAAACCACCTCGAATATGTTGTGTTAATGTTATGAAATGTTTTCTCATCAATGATGCGGTAAGCAGGAGGACAGAATTACATCTAAACTGACGCCGTTTTGCATTTCTATAGGTTGTAGATACGAGCATGGTTTTATATACTATCACGTTTAATCGTGTTTTATGCCGTTTGCCAAGACTTGATAAGTCGCTCATAAAACACAGGAGGTATGGAAACTAAGAACACCAGATGTGGTAAATTGTACAGCTAATATAACACAACACATTAGTTGTATTTCCTTTAACTGGTGGATATAGAGTTGCTGCAGTGGCTACGCTGCGCACAGCTGATCGACAGCTGGAACACAAACCACCAAATACAAAAACATAATTCAGATCCAGTCGTCATGACTCCACACCGGAGGGATTCCCCGATCATTTCTTACAGTCTCTCATCAAGTCTCCTGTCCCCGGTACAAACACACTGCCTGAGGAAGGCTATGTGTATTATTTTTGTCATGAACCTTTTTCGGGCCATTTATTTATTTATTTTGGTGACAATCCGACCTCCATGCTGCTACTCTGGTTCAAACTGCATCCATCAAACAATATGATTTATCTCCACCTTCCCAAAATAACCCACATCTGACACGGTGTGAGACGTCTTTTTTAGCTGTTCTGTCGTAATTTCCTGCGATCTTCTTCATGCAGTCAGTCAGAATGAATGAATGAATGGGCGTTTCTTTGACTATTTATAGGCAAATATGGGCGTTACGTGAAGTCCGCAAAAGCTGCACCGCATTTCGAGTCGATTGTGATTTATAAAGGGAAACCGGCGTAGGAAGTGCTGTACGCACTTTCCTCGCCGGTGCGCAATGTTTGGTGAATCGGAAAATGTCGGAACATTTCTGTACCTATTTTTTGGATTTCTACTACGTAAGCAACCTTCCCACGTGAATCCTACGCACGGCGTTATAAATGAGGTCCCAGATCACCATAGTCCAGCACAGGTCAAAAGGTCACAGAGCCTTTTCCTGGCCTCAAGCGAGAAACAGGACTTGTTTCTGAAAAAGAAACCTAGTCTAACCCTCAGCTTTTTAGGCAGGTTATTGACCTGAAGTTTAAAAGTAAGACAATCATCAAGCCAGATACCTAGGTATTTATAACAGGCAACCACTTCAAGTAGTTATCCTTGCATAGTAACAATATCTAAAACAGACTCTGGTATCTTTTTAGCTTTTGAAAAGAGCATTACCTTGGTTTTATCAACATTTTAAAAGAAGCTTTAGTTCAGAGAGCTGAGTCTGAATAATGTTAAAAACAGCCTGTAATTTAACACCAGCCTCCTTAAAGGTGGGGTCGGTACGTTTCAGAAACCGGCTAGAGTGCACTAACATTTGAAAGTACACAGCCGAAAAGAATCCGCCCCTTCCTTCAGACTTCCTCACGGCCCGTCCACACAGCGGCGTGCGTTGAAGCTTCCAACGCTTCTGCCCATTCACTTTGAATGGGGTGACGTCACTTTTAGCCGAACTGCATTTTGGGAAGCGACGTGGAGCGTTGCTGGCGTAGCTGGCGTCAAAAGTTGAGCAATGTTCAACTTTTGACGCCTCGACGGAGGTGTCAGCCAATGAAATCCCGTTTATGCAAATCTTCCAGTACAAGCGCTAGCCAATCAAACCGCGTGTATGCTGGGAGAGACTACGCAGGTCCAGCGCCATATAGACTTCTATCTATATGGCGCTGCGCAGGTCATTTCCTCATATTCCAAAAAATGGAGGGAAAATTCATTATAGCGGTAGTGAATCACCCGGTGCTGTATGATCAGTCTCTGTTCATCTACCGGGATACAAACCGGAGGAGCGAGGCATGGAGGGAGGTGGCAGAGACAGTGGATGAAACTGGTAGGTTTTCTCCTGTTTGGGGATTTTATATCCAGTTTACTTCGTTTTAAC